ACCGCTGCAGCGGTGAGGCTACCGCGGACCGCGATTTTCACCTTTTGCTCGAACTCCAGGCTCTTTGAATCTTTCCATTGCAGATTGTATTAAAAGGACCGGTGTCGCGATAGGGGTACTGCGGTCGCATAAAATCATCGTGGACCGCGGCAACTTGAAATGCCTCAACTGTATCTCTCTGAACCTTACCACCGCGAACCGCAGTAAAAGGACCGCGATCGCGGTGGATTTTCCGCTATAGCACTGCTTTGACTTGGTTTTGAACTTGTGCAGGTTTCACTCCTTTTTGAGATGGTTATGACATCGTTTGTCTCTTTTTGACCAAACACTACAAACAAGCACAACAAGTTAGCTATTAGGGAATACTTGTACACATTTTAGTCCAAAACTCAAGCAAAAAGGAACATAAACTAGACTAGAATACCTAGTTATCAATTACGGCAGAGAGAGTTTCCGAGGCTGAGTTTGAGGATGCTCGTGCTAAGGCGCACGTAGCTCGGGTCGCATGTGGTTATGATCCTGCTACACTGGAGGCTGGGGGTTGGTGATGGTGAAGATGACTTGGATGGGCTTGAGCTAGGTGCTTGGTATGATAACAAATACTCTTATGGTGAGGACGATGGTGGGGACTATGGTGGGGGCGATGCTATTGTGTAATGTTTTTTGTAATCTTTCGTTTTTACTTTTGTGGGCTTCTATTAGGCCCTTGCAAGATACCTTTTTGATTTGGAATGTTACTTTTGCCGTTTATTTCTGAGTCTTCTATTTTTTCCTTGAATGTTTTCCTTGATTGATTGTCTTGATTTAAAAGAACTGTTGGTAGACATTAACTCGAACATGGCCGAGTGTGTCTATGATTAATTCAAGCAAAGTAAAATGTCGCCATATCTAATTCAGACAAGGTTGATTGTGAAATAACATTCGAGCTTGGTCGATTTGTGAGTTGATTCGAGCGAGGTCGAATATTACTCTTAACTAATTCGAACGAGGTCGAATGTGAGTGTCTTAATTAATTCGAACGAGGTCAAATGTGAGTTGATTTGAGCGAGGTCGAATGTTACTCAGTTAATTCTAATGAGGTCGAATGTGGGTTGATTCGAGCGAGGTTGAATATTACTCTTAATTAGTTCGAACGAGGTCGAATGTGGGTTGATTCAAGTGAGGGAAAATATTACTCTTAATTAGTTCGAACAAGGTCGAATGTGAGTTGATTCAAGCGAGGTCAAATGTTACTTTAGTTAATTCGAAGGAGGTCGAATGTGGGTTGATTCGAGCGAGGTCGAATGTTACTCTTAATTAGTTTGAACAAGGTTGAATGTGAGTATCTTGATCGGTGCGGTGTTAAAACTTGGTAGAGATATAGGCAAACATCATGTGCTTGTATGCTTTGCTTACATATATACATTGGAGAAGTTTACACATTTTTCGCGCTGGTATTCCAGTCCCAGTCTACCTAGTCCCTTTTTTGGTCAACCTAGAGAAGTATTCGAGGGGTCGAGCAATGAACTTGCTATCTTGTAGTTTAACGTGCTCATGCATATCTTCAAAATGTCCTCCTCGTTGCCTCGTAAAAAACCTCCCCGAGAAAACCTATTTGGGAGAAAACTAGGGTGAAGGAAAAAAAGTGCGGCTCGGAGAACATCTTTCCTTAGAAGTTGAAGTACTTGAGGTGGGTGATGTTCCAGTTGTTTCATAGTAGTTTTCATTCCATCGTTTTTGGTTGGAACGACCCTTTGCTTGCTGCCGTCGTAATTTTGTACGTGTCGTCCCAATTAGTCCCTATCTTTCCTTCCCGTGGATCCTTGCTTGCCTATATTTTGGCTTTGAGTACGTAGTCCCCGACTTTGAGCGGTCTGATCTTGGCCTTTTTGTTGTAGTATTGCTCTGCTTGTTGTTTCTGAGCGACCATCCTTATATAAGCTATGTCTCTTCGTTCTTCAACCTCATCAAGGTCTTTCCTCTTGCTTTCATAGTTTCTTGACCCACTCTCTTATGAGTACCTTAGACTTGGTTCTCTGACCTCGATCGGTATTAGTGCATCAGTCCCATAGACCAGTGAGTACGATGTTCCTCCTGTGCTTGTTTTCAGCATTGTGCGATATGCCCATAGCACTTCCGACAACAACTCTGACCATAGTCCCTTGGCGTTCTTGAGCTTCTTCTTCACGCTATCCAACATTGACTTGTTGGAGGACTCTACTTGCCCATTGCTCACGAGATGATATGGCGTGGAGAGTATTCTTTTGATATGACATTTCTTGAAGAACTCGGTGATTTTTTTCCTAGTGAATTGAGGCCCGTTGTCTCAACTGGTTTCTTTGGGGAGGCAGAAACGGCACAAGATATTCCTTCATATGAATGTGATCACCTCTTGTTCGCTTATTTGAGCGAATGCACCTGCTTCCACCCACTTGAAAATATATTCAGTTAAAACTAAAAGAAATTGTACATTACCTCGTCCTGCTGGGAGGGGTCCAACAATTTCCATCCACTATTTGATGAAAGGCCAAGGCGAGGTGACTGAGTGGAGGTGCTCGCCCGCTTGGTGGATCATGGGGGCGTATCTTTGGCATTGTTTGCATTTTTATAAGGTCGGCAACCTCTTTTCTCATTGTGAACCAGTAGTAGCCTGCTCGTATGAGGCATCTAACTATGGCTCGATTGCCGATATGAGCTCCGTATTGACCTTCATGGACTTCCTCTAAAACACATCGCGTCTTGTTTGGGCCAAAGCATTTCGCAAGGGGGACGCCATTCATTCTTTTGACAAGTCGTTGTCGATGACGCTGTACCTGGCTGCCTGCATTCGAAGCTTTTTGGCTTCTTTATTATCGTCTAGAAGCACACCGTCCTGCAAATATGTGACCATACAATTGCGCCAGTCCCAAGTTAGGTCTATAGTTCGTACCTCGATTTGATCAATCAACAAGTGGAGGAGAGTGACCACGTTCCCTTCTTCGATTATGTTTTTAGTACCCGCTGCCAGTTTGGCAAGGCCATCTGCTTTGATGTTCTATGCTCGATGGATTTTGTCGAGCTGGCACTCAACGAACTCGGGTAACAGCTTGTAGATCTTGGCCTAGTATTTTTGTAGTCTTTCTTTCTTGATTTGGAAAGTCCCTGTGACTTGATTGACGACGAGCTGAGAGTCGCAGCATAGGACGACTCGCTTCATTCTGTACTTGAGTGCTAATTTTAGTCATGCAATTATGGCCTTATACTCGGCCTCATTGTTAGTCATATCCGGGCATCTTATGGACTAGTAAATTACTTCTCCTGTTGGGACCTCGAGCACGAGTCATAATACCGATCCCGACGCATTAGAGGCACCATCGGTATACAAAACCCATAGGCCATATATTTTGGGGGAAGTACGAGCGGCTTCCTTTCCGACTTCAGGCATTATTTTTATGCTGAAGTCGGCGAGCACTTGCAACTTTATCGCTGTTCACAGTTGATATGTTATATCGTGCCTGCTCAATTCTATGGCCCATTTGGCCCGTCTTCCCAACAGCTCGAGTTTGTGCAGAATATTCCTTAGGGGAAAAGTCGTGACCACCGAGATGGGGTGACACTGGAAATAGGGCCTAAGCTTTTGGTGAACCTACCACCAAATCCAGGGCTAGCTTCTCGAGGTGTGGATACCTCGTTTCGGGGTCGACCAAAGTTTTGCTAATATAATATATGGGAGATGTACCTTTGTTTTCTCGGGCCAGGACTGCGCTCATGGCCACGCCAGACACAGCCGGGTAGACGAGGAGACTTTCCCCAGGTTCTGCCTTGGTGAGCAGTAGGGGTGAAGACAGGTACACTTTTAATTCTTTCAAGTCTTTGACGCACTCGAAGTTCAATTAGAGTTCATTGTCTTTCTTGAGTACGCCGAAAAATTTATGGCATTTATCGGAGGACCGCGAGATGAACCTCGACAGGGCGGCTATGCGACCGATCAGCTTCTGTACCTGTTTCTTACTGGTTAGGTTCTCTAGTATTCATTCTATAGCTTTGATTTGGTCAGGGTTGACCTCTGTTGTGATACCAAAAAGCCGAGGAACTTTCCCGAGGTTACTCCAAAAGCGCACTTTCCGGGGTTCAACTTCATACCATATCGTCTGAGTATGTCGAAGGCCTCTTTCAAATGGTTGATGTGATCTCTTTCATTTTTGACTTGACCAATATAGCGTCGATGTAGACTTCCATGGTTTTGCCGAGCTAGTCTTTGAACAATTTTGTTACTAACCTTTGATACGTCACCCCGTGTTTTCAGTCTGAAAGGCATCACTCTGTAGTAATACGTCCCCTAGTGGGTGATGAAAGTGGTTTTTTTTTGGTCTTCCTCCTCAATGAGGATCTGGTTGTAGCCCGAGTAGGCATTTAAGAAACTTAATAGCTCCTGTTCGGCCGTTGCGTCAATGAGCTGGTCAATATGGGGTAGTGGGAATGAGTCTTTGGAGCAGGCTTTGTTCAGATCTATGAAGTCTACGCACATCCGCCATTTCCCATTCTTTTTTTTCACCATGACCACGTTGGCGACCCATTGAGTGTACTTTGATTCTCTGATGGAGCCATTTTCCAGCAATTTTTCAACCTTCTCGCAGACCGCATCGTTTATTGCGGAGTTAAATTTCTGCCTAACCTGCTGCACTGAGGGGTAAAATGGGTCGACGTTCAACTTGTGTTTTGCTATTTCTTTTGGGATGCCCGATATATCTGCATGAGAGAAGGAAAATAAGTCTGTGTTGTTAGCTAAAAATTGATGGAATTTACCTGGTTCCTGAAGTTTGTGGTCGATGTAGGCTTTTTTACTATGGTCGTCTTTGTTGAGTTGTACGGGGGTCGATATCCTCTATGGTCGACCCTGTGGCTTATACGATTTCGGTGTCCCTAATAACATCTTTCTCTTAGTCATCACCTGACCTCGACCCTATTAATTGCTATGCAGCCTCGGCTTTGCCTTTCAATTGTTGCGTGTATGTGCAGTCTTAGGCCATGCGATAGCATTCTCAGGCAGTGCATTGCTCTCCTCGGATGCTGAATACTCCCCAAAGGGTGGGGAATTTGTTGACTTGATATAGGCTAGAGGGGACGGCTTTCATGGCGTGTATCCAGGGACGACCTATGATGTCTTTGTATGACGTATCCCGGTCCATGATGTGGAACATGGTCTCTAAGGTGACACCGCCGGCCATGATGGGTAGCGTGATTTCTCTATATGTTCGCTCAACTGAATTGTTAAAATCCATTAGTGTGATGCAACGTGGCACTATCCTATCCTCAAGCTTCATTTGTGCGAGAACTCGAGTGTGGACAATGCACGCACCGCTCCCATCATCGACCATAATATGTTTTATGTCAGTATCTAAGATACGTAAAGTAATAACAAGGGCGTCATAATGAGGAAAGACCAAACCGTGGGAATCCGACTTATCGAAGATGTTACTCGTTTCGAGTTCGTCATACCGTTCATGAGTGATTGACCGTTTCAGCTTGTGGGTGGTCGTGAATTTTACGATATTGATTGACGCGTCATCGCCTCCTCCGATGATCATTTGGACAGTTCGAGTTGGGGAGGGTGGTTTTGGTGGACCCTGATGTTGTTTGCATCCTCGAGCAAAATTTTCCCTTTCTTGATCGCTCAAAAGTTCTTTTAGATGTCCTTGGTAAAGCATGTTCACGACCTCTTGTCTGAGAGCAATGTAGTCCTCGGTTTTGTGGCCCCGTTCCTGATGGAATTTGCAGGAGGGCGTTTGACTTTTTGGTGTTTAAGTCAGTCTTCATCTTCTGCGGCCACTTCACTTTTGGGCCAAGCTTCTCTAGGGTGTAGACTAATCTGAGGGAGAAACACAGAAATTATAAGGAGATAGTACTCAAGGCATACCTCTTTCGCTTTGGTGAGTCCCTGTTGGCGGCCTAGATGGGCCGTCGCTATGATGGGGAGGTGGTATGATAGTGGCTCTAACATATGGTTAATGTCTTTCACAGTTGGGTCGCGGGCCTGCCGGGTCTCTTCTATTGTCATTTCTTCGGTCTTTCCTGGATTCCATTAGACTGAGGTCAGCCGTTGAGTTGGCCCGTTGAGGTCATCCTCATCGGCTTGCACTTCGGTGCAGAAGGCGTTGTGTATCTCGTCCCAAGTGATTGGGGGATATTTCAGGAGTCGTCTTAACAATTTTCTGGCGCCCTTGAACCATTCTTGTTTAACCCGTTCTGGAAAGCTGCTACTGCCATTTCTTCTGATACATTTGGTAAGGTCATCCTCATACGGTTGAATCGGGTGAGGAAATCTCTTTGTCCTTTACCGGGTGATTGTTTAATGGAAAATATGTCATTCACCCTTGCCTTTGCTTTTTTAGCCCGACATGGGCAATTACAAACTTCTCGGCCATTTCCTTAAACGTCTCTATGGAGCATGCAGGTAGCTGTGAGTACCAAGTTAGTGCTCCCTCGGTGAGGGTTTTGCCAAACTTCTTCAGTAATATGGAAGACACTTGTTCTTTGGGGAGGTCATTGCTTTTTACTGTGGTGACATAGTGGGTCACATGATCCTTAGGGTTCATCATGCCATCGTATATTTTCAAGTACGACAGCATTTTGAAGGTTTTAGGTATGGCGTGTGGTGCAGCTTCTTCACTATACGGTTGCTCAACGAACCAGCTGGCGTCTCTTTTTGGTAAGAGTTTTGGGGCGCCTGGTATTTTGCCTACCCTTTCTTGATGCTCTTTCATTTGGTCACGGAGCATTTTGTTCTCGTTCTCCATCTCCTCCATCTTCCTCAAAATGACTGTGAGGGTGTCGTTACCTGCATCACTAACGTTGTGAGTAATACCTGTCACAAGAGGAGGGCCATGCTGCTCGTTTGTCACTGGTGCGACGCAGACTCTCGTAGGTTCTTTGTTCATCCTTTGGGCGGGCTTGTCGAGAATGCTGGTCAGCGTGTTTGTCAACCACGCCTCGAGCATCTTTTTCACTGCTGGTTGTGCCTCTTTAGTTGTGGATGTTGAGGCCTCTTTACCATGTGAGGTTGCGATGCTGTCGTGAGGGAGGGGTGAACCATTCCGCCTGGGGGAGGTGTTGATGTCACGCCCTCAGTATCTGTTCCAGTTACTTCGTTGATGGTGTTTAGGAGGTTGGTAGTAAGACTGACTACTGCTTTCATTCTTTCCTCTCCATTACCTGTCATGTTAAACTATGCACGCAAGATAAGACAAGGTTTTTTGTTGCATTCTTTTAGATCTGAAAGAAACTAAGACTTTGACTAGGACATCTCCACAAACGACGTCAAATTATTTGACCAAAAAATGATAATCTTTGGTTAAATCAATTAATCAATTATTATTATTATAAGGTTAATCCTAATTAAAGCTAATAACTTCAGATCTAAAGTTAATAGTGCGAAAGGTATGAGCAGTGAAGAAATAGAATTAACGTGAGAATAATAAATGTACTCAATGCAATAGTGTGTATGAAGTATTAGATATTAAATAGCAATAAAGGGCAACAAATGTAAATAAGGAGTAAGATTCACCCAATATTGAATGAGGTGAAAGATTCTTCCTTCTAACAATGATGAATGACAGGAATGTGAGATAATATTGAGCACTTTCTCAGATCTGGTAGAAATGACAATAGATAATCTACCAGGATCAAATCTCTCCAGAAAGTTGTTCTTTGTATTTATCTAGAGAGCTTACTTTTCAAAAGTGTTCTTATTATATGAAACCTTAGATGCTTTTTGCCTTATCTCTCATACTATTTATATGAGATATTCCCAAAGAACCCTAAAAGGTACAAATAGAGGGAATATTCAATAGAGCATTTTCTTTGAAGGTTCCAAAGTTATATTAGGCGTTACTTCTACCTATGCTGCTCGACCTCGGCCCTGATGAACCACTCAGCGGCTTGTTATGTTGATCACTGATCGACCTCGACCAAACTGCCCATATTGATTTGCAGGTCACTCATGACAATCGTCTCCGCATATCGAATTTCTCTAGTTCAATTTTGACCCATACAGTTACATATAACAAGCTCGGTATATATGATTTGTATGCACTAGTTTGAGGGAGAATGTTAGTTAGTTATGTACATAATATGAATTAGTCCTAGTCCCACATAGAATATGAATATGATATGTATTGTATAAATAGAGCTCATTGTATTATAATTAAACAGAATATCAATAATAGATTTTTCTCTCATGCATTCTCACACATAAACTATTGATTATCCATGGAAGTCGTCAACTCAAAACGTGAAAACAAACTAGAAAAAAATAGATAAAACAAGACGTATGAAAGTCGTAGAGTTAATCATGTCACAAATACTTCCCCATTGTTTAACCAAAAACTGCAATATGTGAAGAGAGAAAACATTGCTCAATTCCATACTCCAGTTCCCACGCTAGTAATATTGAATCCAACAGATATGACTTAAAATTTGGAAATCAAAAACCTGAAACTGCAAAACTAGTTCTTTAAAAGCCAAGATTACATTAACAAGCATGGTGTATTGTCCAAATCACTCCACATTTATAGCAAAATTGTGATCCACATCTACAAGTCATATGTAAACATCCCTCTGTCTTTTCCACGAAAAATTTGCAATAAGGACATCGAGTCCACTCTTTTGCCTTTGCAAGTTCCCTCACCATAAGATCTTCCCTGTCTCTTTCATCCGAATTCAGCTGTTGAAACTCTACACATTCAACTCCACAATGCCACGGCACCTTACATTGTGCGCAGAACAATCTCCAGCAACTCGGACACTCCGATTCCCTAATGATTTCGTCCGAATCATTCACAAGCATGGCTGAACAATCTTTATAAGGACAGTAGAATTTTTGTGAAGCAAGAATTAATGATTCACATAACATTTCGTCCCACCTAGAAATTACTTCTTTTGGCACAATAGAACTACATGTTTCGAAATCAAGAATTTCCCTACAAGCCACACCTGGACATGTTACAACATGAATATTTTCCTGGATTTTAGTCGCTACATGTTTGCTAATGCAATCAGTACAAAAAATGTGGCTGCATGTTTGTATTGTGAACATTTCATCACTTTCTTTCCTTTCTGCACATATTTCACAGAAACTTAACGATGATTCTCCTACTTCATGTGCACCACCTTCTGCTTCTGTGTTTTGATTAAAAATTGTTGAATTCATTATTACTTCTTGAAACTGGAGTTCTTCAGCAGACTTCTCATCTGATATTGAGAAGTTCTCATCGTTTTCGATTTCATCGAATAGTAATGAGACGTAAAAATCATCACAAGAAAGATCAAGAGCGGATTCTTTTGCCATTTGATCAAGGATATATCGTGCTAACTCGAGCCAAGGTTCATGCTGCGTACTTATCACCGTTTCAGATCTCACTTGTGCAACTACACTAGGTATATTGTTGTATGTATATTGTGCTTACCCGAACTGCTTATAAATGGTGTAGGGATGAGTGACTGATTCATAAGAACTTTTCTAAGTTCTAGGGCCTGGACTAGAGACTTAATTCATAAGAACTCTCGTCTCATTGGAAATCTAAACAAGTCTCTGAAACTTTTAGACTTCTCTAGATATTCTCTTCCCTTTCGAATTTCTGTTAGGATAAGTTATGGTAAGTCAAAGTACTTGCTAGACTTGTACACCAAATCGTATTAATGTAACAAATATAAGTTACTTGCAATAGTGATGTGAATTTTTTTATTTTATTTTTATTAGTGTATTTAATATGTTATAATATATGAAATAACTTTACTTACAGTATACTTTCCCTATACTTTATATCTTTCATAAAATTTCAAATTATTTTCCTTATTGAAAACTCTTCCATTCTTACAATCTTTCCCTTATACTATCTCTTCCATAATCCTTAACTAACTTTGCTACCTAATCTATCTTTTCAGAAACGTTTGATCAGTATTTAAAATATTTTGTATTATATTTACTTGTAGTTTTGTACGATATCTTTTCAGAATCTTTCTTATTTAGATATCCAAAATATGCACCTTATTTTCAGATCTTCCATTTGTCACACCTCCTTTTTGCGCGCCCGGCCCCGAAGGATTAAATGCGCGGGTGGAGTTTTTCCA